TTGTTTTGTAGAGACAAGGTCTTGCTAGATGGCCCAGGCTGAACTCCAACTCCTGGGATCTAGTCATCCTTCTGCTTCAGCCTCCCAAGTACCTAGGACTATAGGCAAATCCAGTTGACTTAGTATTTTAATGAAGTGCAGACTTTCTGAATAAATCTGCAGATACAATGTATTGTCAATCAACACCCCAATATTTTCCAAGTCAAATAGTCTTCTTTTTTTTTTTTTTTTTACAAACTTTTATGAATGAATCCTTTCTTTCTTCATTGATTTCAAAGGTTCTTCAACACAATTTAGATTCTAATTAGAAGTGAGGCCTGTGGATAAAATCTGTTTATTGGATGTGTATCATTCCTTTGTTCTAATTGTTCTACTCTTGTGCTAATTGCACATTGTTTTAAAAACAATTTATTACCCAATAGAGTTATTGTCCTCTTTATCACTTTCCTTTTTGAAGTTTTTTTCCTACTCCTACTTGTTTATACTCTTTGAATCATTGAATATACCCTCTTAGAATCATTTTATTAAATTTTAAAAGGATATGATAAATTGAAGTGGACTAAAACCCAATATATTAATTGAAAAGACTGGCTGTCTTCAAGAACATCATGCACTCCTAATTCAAGTCTTCTCGAAAATTTATAAATAAGTACCATGTACGTTTCTTCTTAAAATTATCTGAAGACCTTATTTTGGGTGTCTGCCTGTGTTGTGGCCTGATTCCACTCAGCTTTCATTCTTTCAATCCTAATGAAATGAAAATCTGAGAACACCAAACACAGAGACGGGTCACACAGTTTCACATGCATTTTATTTGCTCTTAAATGTAGTCCCCAGATGACATTCATAAGCTACAAGTACGCAGGGGATGAGGCTCAGTGGTTGAGAGCTTGCCCAGCATGTGTGAGGACTGGATTCTACCCCCAGCACTGCAACAAAACCAAATCAAACCAAACCAACCAACAAACAACAAAAATAGAAAAGAAGGGAGGGGAGGGAGTGAAAGAAAAGCTATAAGCATGGTTCTCAGCCCTCTGCAAGTAAAAACATGAAAGTGTTCCAAAAAACCCATTTCTATATTAATTTTACCTGCTGCCAAGAATAGGATTTTCTAGCTAATTTTTTTTTTAACTGTTTGTTCCAGCAATTGGAAGACGTTCTCTGGTTGTATTGAAAGAATAACTTTCAGGATTTGAATTGATACTGACACATTAATACTAACTAAAGCCCATATTTAATTTGAATTTCCTTAATTCTTATTAAAATCCTTTTTCTGTTTTAAGATTTCTTCTAAGATACCATCCTACATTTTATTATTTTATTTCTTTAGACTCCCTTTTGCTGCGACAGTTTTTCAAATGTCCTTGTTTTTGATGCCTTGACCAATTGAGGAATGCTGGTCACTTAAAAAAAAATTTTTTTTTAGATGGACACAATACCTTTATTTTATTTATTTATTTTTATGAGGTGCTGAGGATTGAACCCAGGGCCTCACATGTGCTAGATGAGCACTCTACCACTGAGCCACAACCCCAGTCCTGAATTCTGTTCATTTTGTAGGCTGTTTCTTAGTTGGGATTTGTCTGATATTTTTCTGTTGATTAGATTGGAGTTATGAATTTTGGGGAAGAAGACCATATAAGCCAAGTATTATTTTCTATATATCCTACCAAGAATACTGTACTTGGTTGATTATTGTCCCCTTCCCCCAATTTATCTCTATCTGGAACCTCAGAATGTGACTTTATTAGAAGTGGGTCTTTTCAGATGTAATCAAGTTAAGATGAGGTCATATGGATTAGGGTGGGCTCTTGATTCAATGACTGATGTCCTGCTGTGATGAGAAAACAGATGCAGAGACAAATACAGAAAAGATAGCACATCATGCCAGAGGCAGCAATTGGAATTATGCTGCTGCAAAATAAGGAATTGCAAGAGTTGCAGGCAAGCACCAGCCCCCCAGGGAAGCATGGAACAAACTCTCTCCCTGAGCCTCCAAGAAGGAGCCCAGTCTGCCAACTCCTTGATCTCAGATTTCTGGTCTCCAGAAGTGTGTGAGAATAAAATTCTGTTGATTCAAGCACTGTCTGTGGTGATTTGTTGCAGCAGCCCTAGGAAACTAAGCTGGGGACATGGTATTAATATTATGCATAACTGTTGATATTAACTTTGATCATCTGGCTGAAGTTATGTCTGTCAGTTTTCTCTGTTGTGAAGTTGCTATTTACTCCCTTTCCGTACCATACTCTTTGGAAGGAAGTCACTGTGTACAGCCCACATTTAAGGCTTGAGGGCCGGGAATTTTTGTTGTAAAAGAGATTCCCTTTAAAAATGTTTTTACATAAGTGTTATTGCCAACAAATAAAAGGCTGATAATATTTGTTTTTATAATATTTGTTGAAGAACTTGTAAGTAGCTTTATTAAACACCTTTGTTAATGTTGTTGGTGTTATTATTATTTATTTATTTATTTTGCCAGTGCTAGGGATTGATCCAAGAGTCTTGGCATGCTAAGCAAATGCCACTGAACTACATCCCCAATCTCCTTTATTAATTCTATTAGCCTTTTCCCCCCTATTGGGTGTCTTTGGATTGTCTGTAAGTAAGGCTTTTGCTTCTTCTTTTGCTATATTTATACATTACATTTCTGTTTCATGACTTATTACATTGGCCAGGATTTCCCAGAGATGATTTGTGTTAGTCAGCTTTCATCACTGTGATAAAATACCCGAGAAAAACCAATTTACAAAGGAAAAGACTTATTTTGGCTTATGATTTCATCCCATGAGTGGATGGCTTCATTGCTTTGGGCCTGGGGTGAGGTAGAACATCATGGTGGAAAGGCCTGGCTGAACAAAGCTATTCACCCTATGCTGGCTAGGAAGGAGAAGGAGGGTGGGGAGAGAGGACCAGGAACAAGTATTGTCTGCAAGGGCATGCCCCCAAGGACCCATTCCTTTCAACTAGGTCCCACCTCCTACAGTTTGTGTTACCTCCCAATATGTCCATTCAGCTATGAATGCCTCAATGGTTTAATCCATTGATGAGGTTAGATTCCTCACAATGCAATCACTTCCCACAAGTTCCTCCACTGCATGAGGGATCAAGCCCTCAATACATGAGTCTTTGGGGGGGGGGGGGTAATTCCAGATCCAAAATCTGATGCTATTGAACAATAGCAGTGGTTGTTTTGTGCAGAGGGTAGCAGGCAGCAGCAGAGGCTTGTGCAGCCATGGGCAAGATGAAGGCTCAGGATCTTCTCAGCAAGGAGGAAGAGGAGCTGTTGAAACAGCTGGATGACTTGAAGGCAGAATTGTCCCAGCTGCACATCCCCAAAGTGACAGGCAGCATTGAGTCCAAGCTCTCCAAGATGAGAGCAGTCCACAAACACATTGCTTATATTCTCTCCATCATTAACCAGACTCAGAAAGAAAACCTCAGGAAATTCTACAAGGGCAAGAAATTTAAACCCCAGGATCTACACCAAAAAGATGTGTGTCATGTGCCTCAGAGTCATGAAGCAGGAGGACCTGAAACTGAGAAGCAGCTGTGGAGGTACCTGGTCAAGGTCTGAGCACCACAGCAGTAATAAAATATAAAACCAGAAGAGCAAACAAAAATACAATAGCAGTGACCAAAGATCTAGTCTATATCCTAACATTTTTATCTATGAGGTCTCATAGCTTTTGGGAAACTTCTCTACTCCATGCAATTCTGGTGGGATGCTTAACTAGTTGTGAATAGCATTCAACCCTTTGGTACAGAGTTCAGTGCATGTTTCAGTTGCTGCCAAACATTAGATCCTATTTTCCTGGCCACAGCTATTGTTCCAGAAGTGGGTAAGAAATCTAAGCAGGGTTGATTAAGTTTTCTCCAAGTTTTGTGTTTGTTACTTTGGAGCTAGAAGAAAAGCAGGAAGGGTCTTACTTTCTGGCCCACAGGGTGGGTAAGTTAGGAATGTGGGCACTAGAGGCCACCATCACCTGCCGAGAAGGGAAAGGCACCGGTTCAGGAAGAAAGAAACTAAAGAGTGAATCACAGTTGGTGTGGAGAGCAAGGGAGAGGAAGAGAGGTGGCTAAAGGGAAAATACTACTGATCTTGTTTTTAAATCCCTGAATCCAAACTTTCTGGTTCCCTGAGCCAACATATTTCTGTTTTCCTAGTTTCACTGCTTAAGATGGATCACTTAGAACAGAAGGAATTTTGCCTGTTAACAGAAATCATCCTGGACTTGGTAGCTAAGGTTTGTTAGGCAGCGACTGAGTGCCAGGCTGGGATCACCTGGTACTGGATCAGGCCCTCCACCCACACGATCCCAATCATTTCTCCTAACTGGCAGGTACATATCATTTTGAGGAAACTGAGGTTCTACGAGGCAAGTTGCCTATGTTTTCTAAGGCAGCAGCCTCTCTTACTCCTACGTCTGCCAGATGGATAAGCATCTAAGACCAGCGAACTCAAACTGGAAAATGTCAACTTGCAGCTTTATCCTGATAGTTTCTAAGTTCCTTAAGAGAACTACTGGTGGTAGAAAAGAAGTATGTAGAATCCAAATGGGAAATGGTATGCGCTGAGAGCAAGCCGCACAGCAACCACCCAAAGCGCCCAACCCGGACAACTGGCTGTCCGCCAGCCCGACCTTCCACTCTACAAACTTCAGACTCTGAAACCCCCAGGAGAGACGCAGGGCCACAGCGAGTCCCAATGTCCGAGCCTCTGAGGATCTGCCCTCCCATCCCCGGAGCGCTTTCCGTTAGTTGGAGAGCTTTTCAAACTCGCATCTCCAAAAAGTGCCGGAGTTCACAGCCTTCCTAGGACTGGGGGCCTACGACCCGGGTTTTGGGGTGTAAGGTGCGGGTCCAAGGTCGCGGCTGGCTGGCCGCGCGCTCAGTAAGGCGCTGGGAGGGCTGGGGGCGGTGGTCAAGGGCGGGGACTGGAGTTGGGGCGGGCCCAGTGCGGTCCTGCGGCCAGTGTCGGCGCTCCCCGGCAGCACCGCGCCAGGAACATGGAGGCTCCCCTGGAACCCGCGCCCGAGCGGGTAGGCCCGGAGACCACCTCTGATCGCCGCGGGCTGCGCTGCCTGCTGTTTTCCGACTTCCGAGAGGAGCTGCGGGCCCTCCTGATCCTGGCGGGCCCCGCGGTGAGTCAGGTGGCCCCAGTTGCAGGCTAGTCCAGGCAGGTTGGGGGCCCCGTGACCCATGTTGCCGCGTAAGACTTGGGAGAGGTGGGGACCGAGGGAACTTGCCGCAGGAGGGGGAACGGGTGGGCGCTACCTTCCCAGGGTGCGGAGATCCGGGAGGGCGCCTGTGCGCCTCCGCGTCTCGGCGTGTGTCCTGGTTGCCAACTGCTCTGCACCGTCCCACTGGGCACAGCTGGCTCCTGGGCGAGCAGCAGGCACCGCAAGGCCGGCGGCTCCCGCCTCCTGCGTTAGTATCTCCTGGGAAGCGGGAACCTGTGCCCCTAAAGAAACTGTCATCCCCCCGCCCACCACCACCACTGGGTGCCTTCAGTGAGCGCGGATTTTCAGAGAACTAAGCAAAAGTTACTAGAACTTCAAAGTACCCAAAACTTGGCTTCTTTGCAGCTAGCGGCTAAGTCCGTTAGTTCCGGTATCCAGATAATTATCCCGAGGCATGGAAGAGGAAGGCGAATTGTCCCTGTTGCATTTAGGCTTCTGAAAATATTTGGAAATCGGAATCAACCTCTGTAAAGGCATCCTGCACCAGCTTCCCTTCCCCACCAGTAATTGTGTTAAAAAAAAAAAAAAGTTTTTAACATGGTTCTGTTTGGAGTTGAAGTTCTTATCTGTGGTTTTTTTTTGGTTTGTTCGTTTGTTTTATTTTGCTTTTTGCTTACTCCTCTTTCTGCCTTGCCTTTTAAAGGTAATGTGTGTGTGCGCGCGTGTGTTTTAAATCTTAAGAACCACAAAACATGTAATCCTGTTCATGTTCTGCCAGTTCCAGTTGTGGGGTAGGATAGCCACTTCAATTAGACCAGAAGCTGTCAGTGTATGTTTATAGAGAATACACTTTTGATTAAGACATAGACATTCTGCACCTGCTCTGGCTAAGATGGAAAGATGTGGCTTCCAGCAATGGTACTTGCCGTGGTTTGTGGGATATAGTGACAGCATTGTGGAGTGCAGGTAGTAAGAATCATGAGGAGGATAAAGCTATGAAATAAAAATCCACCCAGTGTGTAGGAGGCTGTGATGCTCCTGGTAGATAGGAAAGAACTCCTACTTTGGAATCTCCAGTCCTGGGCTTTACTTCCCTGTGTTGAGGGAATTAATGGTCCAGGTTACCTGCCCCTGGAAGGCCAATATTAGAGAGCTGAGAGTTGGTAGAATGGATTCAGGCTTACTCAAGGGCTGGCATTCTTGAGAAAATAGAGAAGCTATCCCCTCAAAGATCCATCTAGGAGTTCTCAGGGGTCACAAAGGGTTTTTATAGGGAGGAGAAAGGAGAAGCAGGGCAGAAAAGCTAGGTGCTGATCGGGGTCCTCTTCGTCTGTGTGCTCTTTTTTTCTTTTTTGGAACATTGCAGCAGATTTCCAATCCTGGGGGCCAGTGAGCTGCTACCATTCTTTTCCTTTTGAATTTACATGCTCCCTGTTAGTTGATACATAGATCCAAACAGAAGGAGCACTACAAAGGTCATCAGATGTTCAGCGTTCTAGAATTCTAAAGAAATATTTAGAGGACGTGGTGGTGCAGGCCTGTAATCTGAGAGCCTGAGGCAGGAGGATCGCAAGTTTGAGGCAATTTAGCATGACTCTGTCTCAAAATAAAAAATACAGGGATACAGGGATGTAGCCTAGTGTTAGAGAGCCCTTGGCTTCAATCTCGGTACTGCAAGGGGGCAGGGGATGGGGATTTAGCAGTTAATATTGGTTAACATTGTAACCATCTAGGTGGGCTTTCTTTTCTCTAAAAGGATTATGGAGGGATAGAAGGGCAAAGGGAGGAGGAAATCAGGGCAACTTCAAAAGAGGATCCCTGTTACACCTGCTTCCATCTCTTCCAAAGTATGTTAGGAAATGAATTTGTGAATTTGAGCATTTCTAGTTTCCACTTATCCATCCATAAAGTGAGGATGAGCCCAGCCGGTTGGATTGGGCCACCCCCCTGTGTAAAAAATATGCACAGGATGGAAAAAAAGAAAAGTGAACTTTTTGCAGTTTGATCAAATTGGGGAGAAGCAGCTATATTCCTTCTCCCTTCAGGTCCCATTAAAGCCCTTAAAATTTATAGAAACCAAAGCCAGGTAGTATACATACGTAGAATTAGTTGGCCTCAAGAGGGGGCAGAATGGGAGGAAAGGAAGGAAATACACATATGCAGATTTAGTTAGCCTGTGCTAGACAGGCCAGGGCAGGGGGCAGTCTCCATCCTCAGCTTCTTTGGCCACCCTGGTTAGGCCATGGGGAGGCAGACCCATGGCTTCCATTCTCATCATGAGGAAGTTGAACTCCATTCCAGAAGGCATCCCCCAAATTCAATCTGTTTCAATGCCCTGGGTGTAGGAGACATCCTTGGATCTCCAGGGATGAGCATTAGACTGATCTGAAGGGGGGCTCCCCTTTCTGTCTGTGTGCATGTACACCTATACATGTGCATGATTGTGTTTATTACAAATACAATACATACTCATTGCAGGGGGGGGAAAAAAAACCCCAGGACCAACAGAAGAAAAATACTCTAAGATCACACTGTCAAGAGATAATTTGGGATTTCCCCTTCCAGTCTCTTGTGTACATGCCCATGAATGCTTTGCAAAAATGAGATTGGAGACCGCTGGTACCAGTATATGGATCCCGTCTTGAAGCCTCTCCATCTCTATTCCCATCTGCTGTTAAGTTTCCTATTTTCTAAGGGGCAAGGGATAGGAGATCAAAACCTTTTTCCCCTGTGGTCAATGTCCAATACTGTCTTCTCCAAGACTCTACCATAAAATAGGTAGAATGGCCAGTGTGTGGCACGCCTCTCTCTCTCTCTCTCTCTCTCTCTCTCTCTCTCTCTCTCTCTCTCTCT